GTATGTGATTATGCATTCGATAAACTCAGAAAAGGAGTTATCAATTACCATTACCAATCGGCACGTTGGAAGCAAAGGAACATTGCTATGTCCACACAAATTTATCTAGTTGACAAAATAAAAGAAAATCTTTAATGGAATCCATTCAAAAAGTACCAAGAAGGCAATTGGCCATGTTGCTCTTTTCAAACTTCAAAATAAGCAACAGAGAAGTGGAGAGTTAATGTCCAAACAAGCCAAACCAAATGCTGCATTCTAAAGGAAAAGTAAGCAGGAACTCAATATGATCTTACTAATTGGCAACTAATTTCAGTGACCAACTCTCCCGATAAAAACTAGAATAACAAGTTATATCAAACTAAACAAAGTAGAGCATGGGAAGAAGCATACACTTTGATGATGCGGGAACTATAACGACGTGCATAGTTGTATTGTTGGGGGGAAGTTGTAATCGCAGGGGATAAAGCCGCCCATTAAGTGGATTATGGGAACACACAATAATTTCACTAAGCCCGGTTTCCTCCTCCAGTTTATGGGTCAATTCGTGCAGATCTGTCCCTTTAAAAGTAAAGGAAGGCCACTCCAAGCCATCATTGACATTTCCATCATTGTCACCAACAGCAAAGTAAATAAGCCGTCCATCAGTCCTAGGTAGTGAGCTGGTTAAAGAAGGCATTGACTGCAAATATAACAATTTTTCAGGAATCAATATGTTAGGGACATGAATCTATAGAGAAATTGCCAACAAGTGAAGAGTATGAAATGGAGAACCACCATTGGATCAGGCCCAAGGGATAACAACCATGTATGACCAATAGAAAGTGAGAAAGTTTAGAGAATAAGGTGATGTCCAATGGTGGTTTTCCACTTTGAAGTATCGGGACTTGACTTGGCTAGGTTACTCACCAATTGGCCGAGGCAAGTTACTTAAGCCCTAAAGGAAAAATAAAAAGAAAACCAAATAACCATGTTATATATATACGACATGCCTTTCGTCCATAAAGTGCCTCGGTTAGATGTTGTGGGCTCTTTACAAGTGGTTTGGGGATCGAACCTTCCTATGGACAATTTTTTTAAGCCCCGTAATAAATAAATAAAATATATCTACATGGTATTTACGGGGCTTCGAACCCCAAATATGATAAACCACACATACTAGCCTCAAAGACATTTAGATATCATTTGAAGTAACTGGACATAATATTATTTTAAAACATAATATAGGGTGTAAAACTATTCAGCCTTGCCCATAAGTCCGAATGACTCGCACGAGTCTGATTCGACTCGGGCGAGTCATGGAACATTGGTTCTATAACCTAAGAAACTAATTCACACACAAGAGAAATTTTAACAAAATGAAACATCAAGACTTTGGAAGATTGCATTCAATGATAACGGGTTCCCATGCTAAACCCACTTCCTACATGTAATTATTTTGACCATCTAGGAAACTACATATGATAAACAAATAGATCCTGACAAAACAAAACAAATTCTAGCAAGTTTTTTTAATAGTACTTAAATGATAATGGGTTCCAATGCTAAGCCCATCTATTTTACTAGGGGAGAATAAATAAGAGCGTGAATTTGAATTTCGTTTCCATGACTGTTTTTTCCTTCCAATTTTCCAAAATTATTCTCTAGAAGAATCATGAAAAAGTTTATATCCTACATTATCTCATCATCACATTCCATTCTCAATATCTACCTTACATTAAAAAATCTACCTTTATCTCTGATTCCAATGAATTCTCTGATTCTCTCTCAAAAGTGTAGTGAAAAGTTTTTTTGTTTTGGTAATTCAGTGGAGAAGACAAGCCCCTACCCCTTTTTTCAAGTAGATTAGGAGTTAGCTTTTTGAAGGTGTTAGTGGGTCGTGTTAGTTGTGGGAATGGAAACCACAAAGTGGTGACTGGAGTGTGGGGTGCCACCACCACGACCCCAGCCCCTTTCCCTAGTGAAAAGTATTTTCCCATATAAGTCTTTCAATTCCCTATAATTTCAAATCTTTTATTTTATATTGGCATGAATTGCTTTTGTAAAAAAAAGAATATTCATAAATGCATTTTGTAAATAATTTCATTCAGAATAGTTAAAATTTAAATAGTTTTATTGAGGCATATAATATTAAAAAATTGTATAGAAAGTTAACATTCTCAAAAAAAAAAAAAAAAAAGTAAAAAATGACAAAATATGATAAATATTGTAAATAGAAAATTGAAAATTGGTGCAAAACACAAGTCATTCGCTAGTAAACACTATAAGAGAAGGAAACCAGACAAATGAAGAATAAGGCAGGTGAGACAAGATAAAACAAGAGACCAACCTCCAACCTAGCTAAACTGCTCGGAGTTTCATCGTCATGGCCATCAAAATCATGATTTGCAACTGACTGAAAAAAGTCGATCACAGAAAAAATTAGACAAATTATAAGATGATTGAAGTACACCGGAGCCAGGAATTTTTCTCACAAAAGAGTACATAAAAAATCCTAGGGGGAATACACACACCTCTTTGGACGACGGGCTTGAGGATTCAGCTTCAAGGGGCGGTCGAGGGGGCGAATCCGGCTGTACATCCACAATATCAACATCCCACAGGATCCAATCTTGGGTTGCAGTCCTATGGGGTATATCATGCGTCACAGAGTTCCTCCAGGGCGGAGGGCCTCCATTTGCACGCAAGAAGTTGGCGTATCGAGTCTTGAGCTTAATTTGAAACCCATCTCTAATGGCCTCCCATTCAACTGAGGAGTCCAGTTTCGTGGGGATGGTTTGCAAGACTTTGCGTCCTGTCACACCAAAGAGGAAGGGTACGTTCGAGGCAGTGAGGTAGCGGCCATAGCAGCTCTTCAGGCGGACGGCCTGAACGGCGCTGAAGATGAATTCGACAGTCCACTTAGCATTGCGGGAAGTGCCATTGCGATCTTGACGAACAGACTCCTCATCCTCTTCTGCAAAGAGGTACTTGTTGTGGTGGCTCCGGAGCCGAATGATCCTTGCTTTGTTAAAGAGCTCCATGGGTTGTACTCAATCTCAATCTAAAGAACCATGGAGAGAGAAGAACAAGAAGACAAGACCAGCCCGTCAAATCAGTACCGATAGTACTGAGAGCAGTACAGATGAAAGCTAGAGTTATTAAGAGTAATAATCATAGAAGAAGTAAACTCAAGAATAAAGGAGCAGACAAATTGAAAGCTAGAGTAATTAAGAGCAATAATCAAAGAAGAAGTAAACTCAAGAAGAAAGAGCAGAGGGAGCAAGCCAGGCCCTAAACCAATTCACCAATTACTTGCAGCAGCCAACTAGTGAGGTGTGAGAGAGAACACAGATTGAAACCAAAATAACTGAAAGATACAAAAATAAGATAAATTCGAAAGTGGGAACGACATAATGAACCCATAAGACAAAATAACTCGAAGGAACAAAATTAAGATAAATTAGAAAGTGGAACTACATAACCCAATAAAATAAAGTAAAAAATGGAAACTACATAATGAACCCAATACAACTGATCAATTACCCCCTGAATCTTCCAAATAATGAACCCAATGCAACTGATCAGTTACCCCTGAACTTCCAAAAACAGAAGAAATGAAGAGAGAAAAACAGAAAAAGAAAACAATATTCCGGGAGGTTCAGGTGGGACCCTCTCTCATAACAGCTCCCAACTACAAGCCAACAAGCACCTCTCTCTCTCTCTCTCTCTCTCTCTCTCTCTACGTAAGACGACGACTACGTAGTAGTAGACGACGTACGACGGGACGTACGTCGTACGTAACGTAAACGTAACTACTACGTACGTACCGTACCTACGTACGGTA